CTCTGCTCGAAACAGATGTTCTCCTTGCATCCTAACCACAAGAGTTACGGACAATTTGCCGGCCTCGGTGTTGACCAGTGTGGGCCCTGGGGTCTTGGAGAGTGCTCTGTATCAGCAGCAAGCCCCACACTCACCTGCGCTAACACAAGTACCTTCAGGTAGCCCAGAGAAATTTGTCCCTCCCTCTCCATAAGATGCTGCGAGCCCCTGTGGCATGAGTGAATAAGCTACAACGAGAGGAAAATGTTCTCTTGGGCTGGTCGAGGAACAATGAACTTCGTAACTATGCTTTATTTTTTGACCTAGAGAGTAAAAGGCTACAGTGAGTGGGCATAGGAAAAAACAAGGCAAGACCTTTTGCACAATGGTGCTGTTTGGAGTGTGTGTTGCAATGATCTAAAATGACCTTACGCAAGCCCTCAGCACAGAGTTGTACTTGGAAAGTTTCTCTCTCCACACCCTCTCCCAAGACCTCATGCAACTTTTAGGAGTTATATTTAGGAACATTTTACAAAATACCTTTTGACCCACAACCCTTTGGCATGAGTAGTGTTGTCAAAAACCACTATGTCCTTGAGACCTTCCCTGCACACCCAGAGTCCTTGAACAGAGCATCTTTGGGCTCTGTCTGTGCACAAATGGGCATTTACTGATTACGGTATAAAGTGCTATGGTACAAGGATAGGGCTAGATGCCGGCGAGGTCAGGGATGGGTTTAATTCTAGGTGTAGTTAGGCCCTTCGGGGAGGGACACAGCTTTTTCTGAGAGTCAAGATGATAACTGTGTGTTTCCAGTGGAGCTTAGAGGTCAACAGGTCTAAGCCCGTACGCACCTGAAAATCTAGGTCTTGACCTGATGCTCTGCTCTCCAAACGCTGCCAATCCCAAGGGATTGTAAATATATTTTTTCTGGAGTCTTGTTGAAAAGCTGTGACTGGCATTCTAGAGGCCAGGTCTGGATAGCAGCAGCCAGTCACAGGAATGGATGGTAACAATGGTGCTGGTGACCTAGGGTTTCAGACGCACCTTCCATGCAAGTCAGGTTCAGATGTGTGCTGCAGTACGTGTACCCCGGGGCCAGTACAATTACCAAAATAATTTTATTTGCTCAGGAAATTATTACCATTAATTTGCATTATTTAATCACGTCCCAAAGGAATGGGTGAGTGAGAGGTTAGAAATCAGTCATGAGCCATATTCAGATAATAGCGGTATTTCAAATTTCCCAGGGTTAATCTGGATGCTCATGGTGTGTCCAAGCTCAGAACTAAGTTGAGAGGCAACACATAAAGACCTTTAGTCAAATTCTGCAGCCTAGGGAGCCCAATCCCTCTACCCCAATGAGAGGTAATGATGGATCACCAGGATGAGAGCCACACGAGACACTCCGTAAAATAATTACGAAGGCAGCCATTGGCAGAACCAAAGACTTTATTCCCAGCTAATGCTGCTTACGTGACTACTACCCTTAGTCAAGGGAGGGAGCATAATTGCTGGGATTACCTATTTTTTTATTTAGCAAACAGACACCTCCCCACTGCACAGTGCTGTGTGGTCACACATATCCTGCTTGCTGAATCTGTCATTCTCTAGAACCGCTGAGTGCGTGTTTAGGCACAGAGCTGGTCAAGACACCAGGATATTAAATAGAGAAAAGATGTGAACAGCAAATCTGCCCCTTGGGAGAATATTGCCACCGAGTTTCCCTTTACCTTAACCCAAAGTACTTCTTGGATTTCATGACCAGGATGTCCTTATGGTTAACCAGCTTTATGGATGAAGAGCAATCTGAAACACAGATAAAGGAGGTGGCTTGCATGGTTCCCCCGGAAAACCAAAAGGGACCCAGGAAAGGGCTGTCAGGAGAGGTGCTGTCCGAGACAGCCCTCCCCCCTGGTCCTGAGCGCCTGCCTCCGCTTCTACCCTTGGATCGATATTAATGGCTCCATCTGCAGCAGGGAGCAAAAGCTATCACAAGGTTATGCAATCATAAGGAAAATAAAAACTGGAATGTGACTCTCAGCTCCGGTTTTCAAGATTAGATAACACCCCCTTAGTTTGGCACCCAATGAGTTATCAAAGCATTTACAGCGAGTCCTCAGCCCAGACCTTGTTTCATTTTTCAAGTGTTGCTTTTTGCCCAGAATTGAGTCACTGGTTTCCTGACTATATAGACCACTGCTCTCACCCCAGCTCTACGTCACAGGCAGAGAGACCAAGGCAGCTAGGATGTTGAACAGTCTGGCCAAGGTCACCCTGAAGGAGTTTCCTAAATAGTACTGTTAGCCCTGTGTAAAGCTTTCAAAAGAGGAGGGGGCCACGTTTTTTAATGTCTTTTCAGAAAGCACGGCAAATTAAGGTCAATGGACAGAAGTTAAATGGATATCAAAGTCTAACAGCTAGCTCTCAGTTCCCTTAGTCTGTAAAATGTCTATGAGAGTTCTCTTGGGGGATGTTAACAGAAATTAGGTAAGATAATTAGTATGAACTACCTAATATGATACTTGGAATCTAATAGGTGAAAAAAAATTAATTCCTTTCTTCTTTCTGACAGTGGAACACATTGCCACCGAGTACAGGAATTCATCAGACACAGATGTCTGTCTACAGACCCTTGAACTAAATGATCACCAAGATTCCTTCTAACTGTATCATTCCAAGTTTACAGGGCAAGGCTGGACTTTAAATCCATGAGTACCCACCAATTCTAAGACTTTCTAAGTTGTCAATGTTCTACAAGGATGACTCATGGTTTCCAAAGTCATTTTCATTTATATGGGATATTAATAGACAAAATGGAAAAAAAAAAGCAGAGTGGAGGCAGAGACGAGTAAGTTGGAAAACTAGGTTAAGTGAAATTGAACCTCAGATATCCCCTTCATAAGCTCTCCAGCCGGGGTTTCTCTACATTAACTCTTGCACTCTGTGTATTTCACTTCTCAACTAGGTTGCAGGTCCTCAGTGCAGCATTTTAAATGATCTTCTCTGAATGGAACATTGCCCTGGCTGGGGAAGAGGTGGCACCGTCACAGCAGCCCAGTGTGATGACCTGGAGCCCTGGGTGGCAGCACTCAGAAATGGGTACATCAAATGTGCAGGTGATGCTAGTCTGGGGCGTTAGTGGTGGTATAGCAGTTACATCAACACATGTGTGGTCTGACAAGAGGTTAATAACATCCTCCCCATAGATGTGTTAAAATCTGTACAACCTCCCAGCACTGGCACATACATGGCGCTGTGTATCAGTAACTTTCACTATTATAAGTCTAGAGAAATGATGCCCCAAATGGAAACATCTTCAATACACCTCTTTCCCCTGAGAAGCACTGTCCTAAATCATCTGTGCTGAAAGACCAGGGGTCTTTTGTTTGTTTGTATGTTTTTAATTTCCAATTCATTGTGCAATGATACTTTTGTAAAGTTTTGTAAAAAAGGGATTCCTAAAGCAATAAAAATAACAAAGACATACAGAATACAATCAGGACAAAAAACACATTCTCATTACAGAGGCTGTAGAAATCTTCCAAGGACCATCCCACTCCTCTTAAGACGGGGGAATGAAGTCACCTGCTCACAGTCCCGCAGCACATCAGGGGCAGTGCTGGGACAGGACTCAGGTTGTCCTCTTGGAGCATGCGAAGTGGTTCCCAGGACAGCCTGCGGTTCTGGCCAACCTTTACTCCTCATCCTTCCATCAGTCAGAAGGACAGGGCCGCACTAGGGTGAGGCGAATGAGCCACTGGCCTGAGTGTAAAAGTTAAGGGGTTGTCAAAAAATTAGTCATCAAGATAAATAATATTTCAAGCAATATTTTTTATAGTCAAGGCTATGCTGTGGTAACAAATAATTACCAAAATCTCAGTAGCTTAACCCAACTCACCAATTCCAACACGGGTTGAGTTGCCCCCGGCATCTTACTGTCGGCCATCTGGAGCATGTGGCCTCCAGTACCCAGGCAGCATGGAAAAAGGCAAGTGGGGGAGACACACTAACCCTTCACTGCTTGACCTGGAAGTAATACACACTGATTCTACTCACATGTCATTGGCTAGAATTAATTACATATTCGTGTCCTAACTGCCAGGGCGCTGGAAAAGGTAGGAGAGCACAGAGATTTCTGGTGACTGCTAAGAGCCTCTGCTTTAGTCTTGAAAAACAAACAAAATATATATATAAACTTTATTTTATACCTAAAAAAATCAGAATTTTGGGGGCCGGCCCGGTGGTGCAAGCAGTTAAGTGCGTGCGCTCCACTGTGGCGGCCCGGGCTTTGCCGGTTCCGATCCCAGGCGCGCACTTACGCACTGCTTGGCAAGCCATGCTGTGGTGGCGTCCCATATAAAGTGGAGGAAGATGGGTACGGATGTTAGCCCAGGGCCAATCTTCCTCAGCAAAAAAAAGAGGATTGGCAGATGTTAGCACAGGGCTGATCTCCTCACACACACACACACACAGAATCAGAATTTTACATAAAGACGGATCAGTAACAGTGCTGAGCTGACCAACATTGGAGCCTGAGACAAAAGGCAAAATCAGTAATGCTGTCTTTATTTAAAATTTTGATATTTTGTTCAGTATAGATTTTATTGCATTATTTTTGAGAAGGAAGTCACAGGTCAGGGCATTCAGAAACGATTGATGGCAGGGGTCATCACTGACACTTGCTTGGCCGTGCCACATTTGGCTGCCGGCTAAAATATCTGTGTGCAGCAAGGTGGAGGTGAGGACAGGGTTTCAGAGGGCACCCCAAAGCAAAATAATCACCGTGCTCCCTCCAGCCTAAGACTCCATGATTGGAAGACACGTAATTAATTTACTAATATCTTTTCAGAAGGAAAAAAAACGGCTGGTAAGCCTCTTCTGACACCATGTATAGGAAACACCCAGATTTGAGAAAAATCAACACGTGGAACCAAAAATAAAGCTCATAAAATGCAGGCAATATGGTAAAATGTTTTAATTTAGGATTTCCAGGGACTAAAGTCTGCACTCCAACAAAATAAACTCAGAGAACAAATTAATTTTATTAATGAACGATTGGGCATATTTACACAAATCAACTGACAAAAGTACATATTATAACACTTGTTAAACACTGCCCATCAACCAGCACAGGCCCCAGGCCCAGCATTTAGTGCGAGAAATAACACTGGGCTTCCTCAGTCTGAATCCCCTCCCTGTGCTTCTTCCTAAACTTCCCTTCCATCAACTTGCTCCCTCCCCACTTCTCTGTCTTTCCTTTCAAAACCAGTTCTCATCAAATGGTGTGATTTCATCCCTGGCAAATTATTGTGACAGGGATTAACATTTTAAGCTAAACAGAAGAAACTGAAATGACAGTTGGGGAGTAATTTTGAGTGGGTAAGGGTGGTCCTTGGTCCCTTAAACTCCATCACATAGGCTAAAGGCCCACTCTTTCCTGCTTCCAACCAACGTTTCCAGCGGTTAGTGGAATCATGCAGTCTCCTGTCTCCGGAAGGCAGCCGGTCAGAAAAAGGTCAAAGCAAGAAATTCCACACCTGTGGGGCGGGGATGGCCACTAGGTGTCTGAATCCAGACAGTGGCCCCCTCCAGAGCCTCATCACCCTTCTGTTAGGCAAGCACTATTCCAGGACGAGGACGCTTTTCCTGTCCGGCTTCATTCTGGACTGGAGAGCGGGGGAGAAGGAGAAGGAAGACAAACGCACCTGAACCCACCCCTACGCACCGAGCAGCCACCCAGGCTGGAGGGGATTTTACACACATGGTGGAACTTGGATTGGAAAGGGAAAGGGGGACGACGGCTGAAACAGGATTGCTTCTGGCTGGGGGGGAGGCACCACTTAGGGGGTGTCCCTGCAGCGGGCTAACCCCTCCTCTGAGGAGAGAACTCTGGCCATGTCCTCGCCGGCCCCCCTGGCGTTCCCAAAGCGACTTGTATCGCGTTCTTCCTCTGGGTGGCCTCCCGCCATACAGATTACGGGGAGCAGCGGGCCTGACGTCAGCATTCAGGGCGCTCAAGCGACTTTTGGGGCCACCACATCCTCAGAACCTAGAGCAGGAGGGGGGCGACTCCCGACCGAGCAGTCATCCTACTTCCAATCAACGGCAAAGGTCGCGCCATCCTGGGGGGGCCACCCCGCAACCCTCAAGAACCCCCCCCCCGATGGGCCCTCGGCTACGGGCGGCACGGGCGGTGCCAAGTTGGCAACGCGATGGCTCTCTAAGACCATGGCAGCACGTGGGGGCCTCGCCGGGGGTCTCGAGCCCTCTCCTCCACCCATTTCTTTCCGTAGTCTTGGGAACCCCGCGTGTTCCGGGGCGGGGGGGTTGCTGATACCGCGCCCGGACACTTACCGCGGATCCACCGCGCAATTCTTGTCGAACCTGAAAACAGCCAGGTGGGGTGGGCTCGGGGGGTGAAAACCCGCACTCCCCCAGCAACACACACCGCCCCCTGCGCGCATTCAGGTCCGCACGCCGGCGGGCAGGGACCCGGGGCCGCGGTTTTCCGGGAAGCACGTGCGGGTCAATGCGCGTCCCACCGAAACCCAATGCTTCCGCCGTGCGAGGTCTGCGGGGCACAGGGCGCGTGTGCGTGTTTCAGGGGGTCAGGCATCAACGGAGACGTTGGGGGACGAGGTGGATCAGCAATCAGCTCCGACCGAGCCCCGCGCCGCCGCGACCGCAGGGGAGGGGAGCCGCCGCCCGCCAGGCAGGCGACAGCGCGCGGCCACCCGGGGGCGGCGTTAAGCGGCGGGGGGAGCGGGCGAGCGGCGCGGCACGCCGTGCACTTCCTGTTCGATGCACGCCGCCTTCCACCGCCCGCGCTCCCCCAGCCTGCGTCGGTGCCAGGCCCGGCCCCTCGCTGTCCCTTCACTGTCCCCGGGGCTGCGGCGCGGCGGTGGGACGAAGCGGGCGCCCTGCTCTCCTCTCCCGCGGGGCTCCGACGCGCCCTCCGGCCGGCAGGGCCACGCGAGCCGCCGCTAGAACTTCTGCTGGCGGCCGAGCACTAGCCCAATTGCGAAGGGTATTGGCGTTTGCACCTCCTCTTCCCCTCCTCCCTCCCTCTCGCCCAGAGAGGAGGACGGACCTAGTTCCAGGCTCGGGGCTGGTTTATTCTGCAGCCGAGGATTACATCTATATGCAAACTGTCTCACTCTCGCCAGATTTTCCACTTAGGCTCAGGCATAGGTTGTTTTCCAAATTACTGTTTTTAATTGCACCTGCCTTTCAGATTACCTCTGGGAATCTGTGGGAGGAGCCAAGAGGGTGGAAAATGTTGCTTCGCTTTGCAGAAGGAAGAAAACTTTGACACTCAGCGTGAGACCTCTGCCACGCGTAACCCGGCGAGAGACCAGAACCGGGACAGCCTTTGGCTTTGATTTTGCATCCGATGAGCCCGTAGGAGGAAGCGGACACTTGAACTTGGCGCTCACGCCGACTGCCATCCCTCCCGGGTGGCAGCGACCCGAGGTACCTGCTCCACCCTCCCTCCCCGCGGAAATCCCCACGCGGCGTCTTCAGGGTGGAAGGACAGTAAAGAGCGCGCGGCTCGAGGCCAACGGCAGGGGCCGGGCTAGGAAAGAGGACCGAATTCCAGGAACAAGTCACCCGGAATTAACTTCTGGTTAAAGTTATGGGAAGCGCAGCCATGGACACCAAAAAGAAGAAAGATGTTTCCAGCCCCGGCGGGGGCAGCGGCAAGAAAAATCCCAGCCAGAAGAGGCGTTCGCTGCGCGTGCACATCCCGGTGAGTCCCAGCGCCGCCGGCCCCCGCTGCCCACCGTCGCGCCGCCGCCCACCGCGGCGCGGAAGCGGTTAACGCGGGACGCCCGGCGGGCGCCGTGCGTGGACAGGCCCCTCCTGTCGCTTCGGGCCGCTCCGGGGAAGGGTGGAGGAGCAGGGCCGAGCTGGGCCTCGGAGCCCGGGCTTCAGCTCTCCCTCCACCGCGTGCAGCCGGGGCCCAGCGACCGTCTGCGGTGGGGGCTGGGGCGAGGGGCCGAGGGGCGCGTTCCCGCGCCGGGCGCGGCTGGTGGCCGGCTGGGCGTAGCCCAGATCCCGCCGGGTGCGGGTGCGGGGGGCGGTGCGTCGTGTTGTTTTGTTGAAAAAGGACCGTGTGGACTGCGCTCCGGGGAGGTGGAGCCCCGCGCGGCTGCCGGGGATGCAGGGGAGGGGAGGGGCGTTGGGTGGGGACAGCGGGCGGGGTGGGGGAGTGGCTGTGTAGCTGCGCCCTCAAACGGACCTACCTCCTTCCCAGTTTCTCCTGGGGTGCCTCTGGGCCGGGGGTGTGGGGGGCCTTTGCAGCCGTTCCCTTTGCCTGTCCCCGGGGAGCACATTTCGGGCATTTGGGGGCTCGGGGCTCCCTAACGCGTGCAGGGCTGCCGCGAACTTAGCCCTCGCCAAGCCGGGACCTGGCCCGGACTTTGGCGACATCGATCGGTCTGTGACTTGACTTTGTCCAGCTGGAGGAAGCGGCGGGCGAGGTGGAGCGCCCACCCTGCGGTTTGCCTGCGCAGGTAGCCAGTGGCCCCTTGTCCTGGCCTCACGCAGCGTTCCTTAGCCTCCGCTTAGGGTGGGGGGGGAGGCAGGTGGTGGGATGTGCGTTCAGCCCTTACCTGCACTTGAAGAAAACTCAACTGGGTCACACCCCCGACCTCCACCAACCAAGTAAATGTTTCTCCAAACACAGTACTCACAGACACACACATGCACAGACCACACATGCACACACAGAGTAGAGGGCTCCATGGAGAATGTGATTTTCTTCTCTTTTCCAGATGACTGGTCTTGGGTGGGAGTGCACAGTGTGTCCCACCCTCGAGGGTTGTCACCTCGTTAAAGCTAATCCTTCCTGACAGCAACAGGGCGGGACTGGGGTGGGGCAGCTGGCCACTCACTTTCCACTGCGAACCCGAACCTGGTGAAGCACTTTCCTCCTGGGTTTGTGCACGTGCATAACACTTGGATGGGGAGGAGCAGAGCCCCAGACATCTGATGCGTTATTTCAGGGAGCAGCCTGAAGTTGGGACCCGGTGGGCAGCCCTTCCTGGCAGGGGGAAGCAGGTGACGGGACCGCTGGCTGCTGTATGACAGCAGGGCAGTGACCCATGCAGGCAGGAATAAGCCTTCCTTTGAATAAGCTTTCTATTTGAAAATGAAATATTCCTGCTTACTTTGTTAGTAAATTAGAGGTTAGACGTTGCTGCCACTAAGCTCCCTTTAGCGCTGATCACTTGAGTGAGCCATTGAACCGCTCAGTTTCCCCCTTTTGTCATAGATAATAATTCCACTTTGCCTACCTTATAGGGAGGTTGAGATAAAACAGATCATGGAAAGCTCTTACAAATTTAAAGTGTTATGTAAATATCTGGCTAGTGCATCTGCATCAGAGCACCTAATTTTAAGAAAGAGAGAGAAAAGAAAATGATACTGCCTGGTGTACAGGCCACGTTGTACTGAGGCCAGTTGGTGAGGCTGGTCCCAAATGCAGAGTGGGAGTGTGTGGGGGGTGCTCAGGGGCTGGTGCTAGTGGTAGTGTAGGACCAAATCCAGGACCCGGAAAAGGACTGAGAGGCCAGGCTGTGCAAGTGGAAAAGCAGCAGTATAGTTGGGGTCCTCTGACCGCCCCTCCTGCTGCTGGTGTGACTTTGGCTGCTTTAGACAATGTTCTTGGCATGATCCAGCCGTCACTGCAAGTACTGTTCACTCAGTTATTCCACAACATGCGTGCAGCGCTCCGGTCGATGGTGAGATCCAGGGGTGAACGAGGGGGCTCTGTCTCCATCCTCACAGGGCTTGCATTTGCTGCAGATGACCCAAGGGTATAAGATGACCCATGCAGCGGGGAGAGAAGGGGGAGAGCACGGTGAACTGATGTGTTCAGAGAGAACTTAGACCCAGAGACGGTAGGCGAGACAGCGACTCGTGTGAGAAGTTGGGGGTTGCTCCTATCAGGGACCCCGCTTGAGCACTCCGTGGAGTCAGGGGTTTGGATGACCACTTCCAGGTGCCGTGAAGAGCCCTTCTCTTGGAGGAAAGGGTTTGAGAATCAGAGCCATCAGAAATGGATTGAGGCCAGATCAAGGAGGGCCTTGAAATAGGGTTGCCAGATTTAGCAGATAAAAATACAAAATGCCCAGTTAAATTAGAATTTTTTGAATGAATAACTTTTTAGTTTATGAATGTCCTGTGGGCTATTTGGGATAAATTTATACTAAAAAATTATGCTCTGTTGTCTGAAATCCCAGTTTACCTGGGCATCTTGTATCTGATTTGGCCGCCCTACCTGGCAGGCAGGCAGGCCCAGGGAGAAGCTGCAGGAGTTGCTGCTGATGCCCTGCCCCACATGCCCAGGGCGCCCCAGAGTTCACTGCAGTCCTGCCGGACAGCCCCGCTCCACCCCACAGCTCTCACTGTGTCTTTCTCGCTCCTGGAGGAATCCTCTCGGACACCCGGCGGTTTACTCAGCCTGAGTGTGGGGGGGGTGGAAGACCTGGAATTGGGTTTATGCCCTGAGGGGCAACCCTCAGCCAAGGATCGATGAAGGTGGGGCAGTACCCCAGCCTCCCCATCCCGCGGTGGGACAGTTCTGATGTGTGTTCTGCAGGATGCCTCAGAGGGTCCCAGCAGGGTCCAGCCGCACTTGCCCACAGTGGTGGTCTGTTCAAAAGTGTACCCCTGCTGGCTTGTCTGCCTCACTCCCCCACTCCCTGGGATAAAGTCCTGAACCTAAGCCATCATCTCGCCGACTGTTTGAGGGAGAATCTAAACTAAGAAGCAATTAAAGGTGATGAGAACAACGCTTCATGAGAATTGGCCTGGTAGCAGCGTGCAAAGTGGATTCGTGGAAAGAGGGGCTAGTGTCAAGGAAACTGATTCAAATGCCTGGTAAAAATCCAGGGTAAGGGTTGAGGACTGAACAGCAGTAATGATAAGAGAAAGCAAATGAAGGGGAGAGGTGAGAGGTCAGAGGGAGACCAGTGAGCCTTAGTGTCTGATGAACGGTGAGGGAGACAGGAACTGAGTTGACCAGTGGTGTCGAGATATTTGGTATAAGGAGCCAGATCCTGGGGGAAAATGATGAGCTAGGTCACAGCAAATCGAAGGGGACTCACGTCCACTTCCTTATCCCCCAGCGCCAGCTGATCACTGGTGTCCAGAGGATGCCATTTCCCAGGATGTTTGGGATTGTAAGGAGTGGCTCCTGAAAGACACTGTGGCTCTGGCAGTCCTGTGGGTGGGTCATTTGGTGGTGTCCAGTGGCGCTTGCAGTGAGGAGGCCTGCTGGGGCCTCTATGTCTGAGCAGCTTGTCTCGTCACTGAAATGAGTTGAGTTCCTTTTGGACACGGTCAGCCTTCGTCTCCACCCTTGTACCTGGTGCGTGAACAGAGCCATGACCTAGGATGTTGGGGAAATCATTGCAAACCTTCACTGCAGGCTCTGCTTGTCTTTAGCCATCTTCACCCTGCTGTCCTACCGATAGCGCCTGCTGTGCCCTGAGACACCAAAAAGGAGGAATCCATTTAGGGGACACCCTGGGGCCTATGGGTTATAGCAGATAATGGAGACCTAGAATTACTAACCAAAGTGACGACCAGGTGGGACGGGAGAATGGCCTCGGGCCTAACGGAGGACCGGCCTTGCTTGATCTGAGCCTCCTTCTTAGGCAGTTTGGATCACCTTTATAGGAAAAACCTCCCAGATCTTATCAGGGGAAAGAGAAGGTGTGAGAGAGAGGAGAGGAAGAGGAAAGCCTGAGTGCAGATTCCTCGTGGGGTTGCATTGGGCCTTTAGAAGTAGCGAGGTGGGCATCGTGTTTAGAGTCTGGGTGAGCCGGGGCCTCACTTTAGCTCTTGTCTCTTAGCCTTCATTGCAGATGTAAAGCAGGAACAGTGATGAAGGTGGTAGGAGTGGCTTTAGAAAATAACTCATTAGAAGCCTAGCTGTGTGTGGCATGCTGCCGGAACTTTGCCAGAGAAGCTGTTGCTGGGAGCAAACGTGTTCTTTTCTTCTTTTTTGTCCCTGAAAAAGCAGCTTCTCTATTAATGCTGAAATCCATATGTCTCAGACTTATTTTAATTGATGACTGTTGGCCGGTCTTTGGAACTGTTTACCAGCCGATGACAGCAGGAGGCCAGGGGACAGGGAGGGCTTTGGAGAGAAGGAGCTGAGCAGGACTCTGCGGGGACACTGAGGCAGGCCTGGAGGCGTTCAGACTTGAGGCAGTGGCCAATATTTACTGCTGACAGAATGCACGTGTCCCTGGCCCTCTTGGGAGAGGTGCTCCAGAAATCCTTCACAGTCGCCGGAGACAAGCTAAAAATAGAGCCAAGAGCAGCCGGCCAGGCACAGGAGGGTGGCTTGGCGGGCCTGTCACTAGTGATGCTTTTGCCTGTGGTGTCTCCGGAGGGAACCCTCATGCTGCTTGAGGCCGTGGCTCCCTCTGCATTGGTGACGGGCCTGCAACCAATGGCCTTTATGCGACCAAATCACTCTGCTCGGCACTCTGACGCCCAGATGCGCATGGTAACGGGAGCTGCCCTTCCGCCCCCGGGCTGGACCACCAAGTGACAACAGTGCTCACACCACTAAAACTGCCCAGACTGAAGCCTTGGCAAAGGGAAGGAGGTGCCGTGCGGCACAGTGGGGGTGTCAGTTTGGATCTTGGCCTTGACCTTGGTCAGTTTGTACCCCCCTGAACAAGGTTCGTTGGGTTAGGGTTTAGGACAATGTTTGTCAAAGTGTGGCTC